GTCGGAATTGGGTTTCCTGAGTCTTGGAAGGAAAGAGTGGAGTCTGTGCTGCGAATCTGAGTATGAAAAGGGAGGCAAATAGGGAGAGGAAAGGCCTATAGTTTCGTCTCGATCTATGGCGGGCTGTCTGTCGGGACGCATTTCGTTCACGTTACGAGTTGTGGTTTCGTGTATGGTGTTTTTTTTTTTTTTTTTTTTTTTTTTTTTTTTTTTTTTTTTTTTTTTTTTTTTTTTTTTTTTTTTTTTTTTTTTTTTTTTTTTTTTTTTTTTTTTTTTTTTTTTTTTTTTTTTTTTTTTTTTTTTTTTTTTTTTTTTTTTTTTTTTTTTTTTTTTTTTTTTTTTTTTTTTTTTTTTTTTTTTTTTTTTTTTTTTTTTTTTTTTTTTTTTTTTTTTTTTTTTTTTTTTTTTTTTTTTTTTTTTTTTTTTTTTTTTTTTTTTTTTTTTTTTTTTTTTTTTTTTTTTTTTTTTTTTTTTTTTTTTTTTTTTTTTTTTTTTTTTTTTTTTTTTTTTTTTTTTTTTTTTTTTTTTTTTTTTTTTTTTTTTTTTTTTTTTTTTTTTTTTTTTTTTTTTTTTTTTTTTTTTTTTTTTTTTTTTTTTTTTTTTTTTTTTTTTTTTTTTTTTTTTTTTTTTTTTTTTTTTTTTTTTTTTTTTTTTTTTTTTTTTTTTTTTTTTTTTTTTTTTTTTTTTTTTTTTTTTTTTTTTTTTTTTTTTTTTTTTTTTTTTTTTTTTTTTTTTTTTTTTTTTTTTTTTTTTTTTTTTTTTTTTTTTTTTTTTTTTTTTTTTTTTTTTTTTTTTTTTTTTTTTTTTTTTTTTTTTTTTTTTTTTTTTTTTTTTTTTTTTTTTTTTTTTTTTTTTTTTTTTTTTTTTTTTTTTTTTTTTTTTTTTTTTTTTTTTTTTTTTTTTTTTTTTTTTTTTTTTTTTTTTTTTTTTTTTTTTTTTTTTTTTTTTTTTTTTTTTTTTTTTTTTTTTTTTTTTTTTTTTTTTTTTTTTTTTTTTTTTTTTTTTTTTTTTTTTTTTTTTTTTTTTTTTTTTTTTTTTTTTTTTTTTTTTTTTTTTTTTTTTTTTTTTTTTTTTTTTTTTTTTTTTTTTTTTTTTTTTTTTTTTTTTTTTTTTTTTTTTTTTTTTTTTTTTTTTTTTTTTTTTTTTTTTTTTTTTTTTTTTTTTTTTTTTTTTTTTTTTTTTTTTTTTTTTTTTTTTTTTTTTTTTTTTTTTTTTTTTTTTTTTTTTTTTTTTTTTTTTTTTTTTTTTTTTTTTTTTTTTTTTTTTTTTTTTTTTTTTTTTTTTTTTTTTTTTTTTTTTTTTTTTTTTTTTTTTTTTTTTTTTTTTTTTTTTTTTTTTTTTTTTTTTTTTTTTTTTTTTTTTTTTTTTTTTTTTTTTTTTTTTTTTTTTTTTTTTTTTTTTTTTTTTTTTTTTTTTTTTTTTTTTTTTTTTTTTTTTTTTTTTTTTTTTTTTTTTTTTTTTTTTTTTTTTTTTTTTTTTTTTTTTTTTTTTTTTTTTTTTTTTTTTTTTTTTTTTTTTTTTTTTTTTTTTTTTTTTTTTTTTTTTTTTTTTTTTTTTTTTTTTTTTTTTTTTTTTTTTTTTTTTTTTTTTTTTTTTTTTTTTTTTTTTTTTTTTTTTTTTTTTTTTTTTTTTTTTTTTTTTTTTTTTTTTTTTTTTTTTTTTTTTTTTTTTTTTTTTTTTTTTTTTTTTTTTTTTTTTTTTTTTTTTTTTTTTTTTTTTTTTTTTTTTTTTTTTTTTTTTTTTTTTTTTTTTTTTTTTTTTTTTTTTTTTTTTTTTTTTTTTTTTTTTTTTTTTTTTTTTTTTTTTTTTTTTTTTTTTTTTTTTTTTTTTTTTTTTTTTTTTTTTTTTTTTTTTTTTTTTTTTTTTTTTTTTTTTTTTTTTTTTTTTTTTTTTTTTTTTTTTTTTTTTTTTTTTTTTTTTTTTTTTTTTTTTTTTTTTTTTTTTTTTTTTTTTTTTTTTTTTTTTTTTTTTTTTTTTTTTTTTTTTTTTTTTTTTTTTTTTTTTTTTTTTTTTTTTTTTTTTTTTTTTTTTTTTTTTTTTTTTTTTTTTTTTTTTTTTTTTTTTTTTTTTTTTTTTTTTTTTTTTTTTTTTTTTTTTTTTTTTTTTTTTTTTTTTTTTTTTTTTTTTTTTTTTTTTTTTTTTTTTTTTTTTTTTTTTTTTTTTTTTTTTTTTTTTTTTTTTTTTTTTTTTTTTTTTTTTTTTTTTTTTTTTTTTTTTTTTTTTTTTTTTTTTTTTTTTTTTTTTTTTTTTTTTTTTTTTTTTTTTTTTTTTTTTTTTTTTTTTTTTTTTTTTTTTTTTTTTTTTTTTTTTTTTTTTTTTTTTTTTTTTTTTTTTTTTTTTTTTTTTTTTTTTTTTTTTTTTTTTTTTTTTTTTTTTTTTTTTTTTTTTTTTTTTTTTTTTTTTTTTTTTTTTTTTTTTTTTTTTTTTTTTTTTTTTTTTTTTTTTTTTTTTTTTTTTTTTTTTTTTTTTTTTTTTTTTTTTTTTTTTTTTTTTTTTTTTTTTTTTTTTTTTTTTTTTTTTTTTTTTTTTTTTTTTTTTTTTTTTTTTTTTTTTTTTTTTTTTTTTTTTTTTTTTTTTTTTTTTTTTTTTTTTTTTTTTTTTTTTTTTTTTTTTTTTTTTTTTTTTTTTTTTTTTTTTTTTTTTTTTTTTTTTTTTTTTTTTTTTTTTTTTTTTTTTTTTTTTTTTTTTTTTTTTTTTTTTTTTTTTTTTTTTTTTTTTTTTTTTTTTTTTTTTTTTTTTTTTTTTTTTTTTTTTTTTTTTTTTTTTTTTTTTTTTTTTTTTTTTTTTTTTTTTTTTTTTTTTTTTTTTTTTTTTTTTTTTTTTTTTTTTTTTTTTTTTTTTTTTTTTTTTTTTTTTTTTTTTTTTTTTTTTTTTTTTTTTTTTTTTTTTTTTTTTTTTTTTTTTTTTTTTTTTTTTTTTTTTTTTTTTTTTTTTTTTTTTTTTTTTTTTTTTTTTTTTTTTTTTTTTTTTTTTTTTTTTTTTTTTTTTTTTTTTTTTTTTTTTTTTTTTTTTTTTTTTTTTTTTTTTTTTTTTTTTTTTTTTTTTTTTTTTTTTTTTTTTTTTTTTTTTTTTTTTTTTTTTTTTTTTTTTTTTTTTTTTTTTTTTTTTTTTTTTTTTTTTTTTTTTTTTTTTTTTTTTTTTTTTTTTTTTTTTTTTTTTTTTTTTTTTTTTTTTTTTTTTTTTTTTTTTTTTTTTTTTTTTTTTTTTTTTTTTTTTTTTTTTTTTTTTTTTTTTTTTTTTTTTTTTTTTTTTTTTTTTTTTTTTTTTTTTTTTTTTTTTTTTTTTTTTTTTTTTTTTTTTTTTTTTTTTTTTTTTTTTTTTTTTTTTTTTTTTTTTTTTTTTTTTTTTTTTTTTTTTTTTTTTTTTTTTTTTTTTTTTTTTTTTTTTTTTTTTTTTTTTTTTTTTTTTTTTTTTTTTTTTTTTTTTTTTTTTTTTTTTTTTTTTTTTTTTTTTTTTTTTTTTTTTTTTTTTTTTTTTTTTTTTTTTTTTTTTTTTTTTTTTTTTTTTTTTTTTTTTTTAAGAACTATCAGTAAGGGTGCTGTGGCCTTGGTCTGAGTGGTGATATCCTGTGGATTTCCCTCTAACCAATATTCTTGTAGAGGACAAAAATTGCAGTTATCGGTACAAGATATAATCTGTAGGCACAAACAATAACACTACAGAATAAAGGAAAAAGGTCACGGAAAGCGCTGCTCAGTCTGTCGCCTTTGTGCTCCAGCGTTTCAGCTCTTATCTTGCTGTGCATGCCAAGGTGAAGACAAAGTTTCCTGGAGGGTGTTGTGGGGAAGAGCCCCCTATAAACCCTTCCCTTGTGCAGTGCCTGAAGGGCATGCCCAGTGAAGGCAACTTAGATTGTTGACTAATTTTGATGAAGTGGAGTTGGATATTTAGCTTCTGTAAAGAATTACCCTAATCCTTACCCTAATCCTGTTCTATTGCTGGTTTTCTTGGTCAGTTACTTCTGATATGAGAGGGTATATCAGTGTTTACTTAGTTGGCTAGAGTTAAGATTTATGGAACATCTCTAGACTACATAAAAGAAGTGAATGTGGTCATGGATGAAATATATGCTATTTGCTGTGAACTTTAAGTAATTCTGTGAAATATGAAAAATTTCAAGGCATTGTGATAGAACCTTGTATGCAGTCACTAGATAATCTTTTTGCTGAAGCTTCCATGGTTATATTTTAGGATTGTTAAAGGGTATCTATCCTGAATATAACACGTACAGAAGTTTGCTCACCCCCCCCCCCCCCCCAACTTTGTGGAATAAAAAAAATAATTTGCTTTTAGTAAAATTAACCTACTTTATACCACAGTGAATAAATGTATTATTGTGGCCATTGTACTGAGCAGTGCTAAATATATCCATATTATTTTAAACTTTCTCAAATTGCTAAATTTTTTTATGCATATTATGTACGTGTGGGGCAATTCAGGTTGAGAATTATCATATTGTATTTATATGATTGTGCACTTCTAGTACCATGGAAATCATGGTTCTCCTACTGAATATTACTTTTTATAAATCCTCCATATTGGAACTTTTCGGTGTAACTAGATAGTTTCAAAGGAAAGTTTTGGCTTGAGTAAAGGTCCTAACTTTTCTTTTGTCTTCCTTCCAGACATAAACACGCGTCAAAATGGTGCGAGTGAATGCCCTTGCAGATGCTCTTAGAAGCATAAACAATGCTGAGAAGCGTGGAAAGAGACAGGTTCTCATCAGACCCTGCTCTAAGGTCGTAGTCAAGTTTCTGACGGTGATGATGAGGCATGGTGAGTTTGGCATGTTGGTATTTGGGTTTATATCTAGTTTTTGAAGTTTGATAGTATAGCAAGTAGCTATGGTTATATATAGACTATCCTGAGTAGTTTACAGTGCTGTGGTCTGAACACTAATGACTTCTAGTAAGCAGTAATTTGGACTGGTTTTCTATATAGCAATTATCAGAGGCATATAGTCTGTAAAGTTTGATCTCTAGACGATATTGTATGTATAATAGTTAATAAAAAAAAATAAATGTTTTGTGATTCTCATGACCAACAGTTTTTAAAAATGTTCTCCCTTTCCTCATTCTGTCTTTTTCTGGATTATTACCGTTTTCATTAAACTTTATTAGTGTCGGAGTCTGGAGTTTAATTTAAGAAAATAAGGTCGATAGAAATGTTGGTTTGTTCATTACAAGGTTAGAGCATTAGAATTGTCAGGTCTCTAAAAAATACAATTTACAATTTAGCAATGCTTTGGGTGTAAACAGATGCAAGAAGTTTTTAATGCTCCATATGTGTAATTCCATTTTTCATGGTAGTACTTTACTCTTGTAAAAGAAAATTTAGTAGTGGAGAATGAATGTGGAGTTGCTATTTTGATGTGATTCATAACCCAGGGAAATATGCATACTTTATACATATATGCTGAAATCTATTAGATTATTGGGGTTGTGGTATTATAACTAGTCACAGATGGGCCTTTTTGTTGATTAAATTATAAATCCTTTCCTCTTTTAACAGGTTACATTGGAGAATTCGAGATTGTTGATGACCACAGGGCTGGCAAGATTGTAGTAAACCTCACTGGTCGTCTTATTAAGTGTGGTGTCATCTCTCCACGTTTTGATGTAACCATCAATTCCATTGAGAAGTGGACCAACAATTTGCTTCCATCTCGTCAGTTTGGGTGAGTGTTGCCTTTTTTTGTTATAAAAGGATCATTTAAAGGAATTGTCGTGATATAGTAGAGAGGTTTTGAGTTTATTTACAATTTTATAATGCTTGACATGGTGTTTTAGTGCTTGATATGAATATTTCATATTATAATTCACTAGAAAATCAGTACTGCATTATTTAGTCACTATTGGGAATATCCTTGACAGTAACTGGGATTTGCTTGTATTAAAACAAAAAAAAATACATTGTCAAAATAAAGGTATTGCAAAAGATCAAATGTACCCTCAGATTTATCAGGTACCTTGGCTGATATGGTTGTCTCATGAATAGTGCATGCATGGTCTGCTGTAGTTTGTCAGTTTGTTTACAATGGCTCTATAATTCTGGTCGCCAAGGAAGCAAATATTAGGCCAACATGACAAATTCTGTTTACCCATTCCTTAACCCAGTGCTCATAGATGGCAAAAGTACATGCAATCTTCACTGTAATATTAGATTAATAATTGTTTACACAGATAGCTATACAAGTGCTTTGTCTCTAAGGAGTTCATTGTTAGTTATACCTATCTCACCTTGGAAACTTTTCCCCGGTTTTCGGAAAGATTCTATATATCGTTTTGCTATATATTAACTCATTAGAGCCATATCATGAAAAAATTTGGCTAAGGGTAGGTGATGGGAATAAGCTGTCGTGAAAAGCTTTAGCTTAGGGTTGGTGTTGACAGGAATGAATTGTAAAGATTACTCAAAGCTTTTGGCAGAAGACTTGGGCATTTAGGAAGGGGCTCCTATTCTTTCCACTAGTAAATGAGTGTATGGAATGTACTATACCTGAACAATGGCTGGCTGATAGTGCTGGGTCCATGCTCAAGATCCTCTTCCTGCCTGCTTTGACCAACAGGCATGAAGGTGTTTCAAGAAGCTGAATATTTAAAAAATCTAGAAAAAAAAAGCAACAAAAAGTAAAACATTGTTACTTCTTATTGTTATTGCTTACAGTTGTAGACTACCTAGAGATACTATGGAGTCTGCTTGACTAAAAATCAATTACCATCTTGATAGAGAATGGAATATAGACCCTGGAAAAAGGCAAAAAGCAAGATATGCTTTTGTAGAGATAACATTGCGAAGGATAGGCAAGGAGTTTTGATACTGCAAACAGAGGGTTCAGGTATTTGGGGTGGAAGTTGATTGCAATACCATTATTATTGATAATGCTATCATTATTTCTGACATTATTATTATTGTAACATTTTTATCAATGTTGTTAATAATGACAATAGTCTTTTCTTTTAAATAAAAATCAAGGGCTTGGGTAAAATCAGTGAAAGCAGTAATTTACTTCATTGTTACTTAGCAATTGTGGCAGCCATCTGTGTTAAAAATCAAATCAAATCACAATGGACATATTAAATATAACTAACCTTTATAATTGTCAAGTTATCTGTAGTCTATATTTTAGGTGAATATACAATAACAGGCTTTCTTTAATTAACTTTTTTCTTCTTTACAGCTACATTGTCTTGACAACTTCTGGCGGAGTTATGGATCACGAAGAAGCCAAGAGGAAGCATCTTGGAGGAAAGATCCTGGGATTCTTCTTCTAAATAAATTTATGAAAGAAGATTTATATTTAATTTCACCTGACTTTTTGGAAACTAAGGCTAAAATTTGGGCTGATATAGGAAAGTATGTCATAATTTTTAACTTAAAACAGAATTATTTGAATATTTGAGAACTTGCATGAAGTACTATTTATTACTGTGAAGTAATGTATATAATACTGATGATTCCACCTTTGAGTTCTGCCCTGTTATATTTTGAATACCTGCAAATGACCTTAGATGTTGATACCACAGAAATTTCAATGGATAATTATTTTCATGGCAGCATTTCTCTAACAAGTTTCCCATTTGCTCACTCACTGTCACTCACTGTCGGTCACTGTCTCTGTCTATTAATGACTTGTTTAAATTTTTCAATCTGATCACTTTTCCTTGATTTTTTCTTCAAAATCTGACATCCCTTTTCATCTTGTCTTGAGGAAACCATCCTGTATTTACTTTGTGGGGAAAGTCAACTTTGAGGAAGACTTGGTGTTAATAACTTACATAAAAATTACCAACAGTAGTAATATATACCATTAACAATCAATTGTTGCATGATTGGATAAACTACAAGATTGCCTATAAGAAGGTAAATGTCAGTCTCCAAAAGATTAAAAACGGTCTGAGTATTGAAAAAGAAGTGACTATTACTGAAAAGATTGCAAAATTGCCCACATGTTTGAGTGTTTCAGATATTGCTTTCACTAAATTTAGCTAATATTTAAGTACAGAAAATTAAATGTTATAAGCTAAGGCAGAGATTTACACATTTATACATCAGTATCACAAAGTATCCTATACAACCTGAAGGTACAGTATAAAACAATTGTGTAATGTGTGGGAGTGATATACTGTTGTGGTTATCTGTGGTAGTCTGGTAGTGAAGTGTGAAGTGATGGAGTGTGGTAATGTGGATTGAGTGGTTGTGTGTGGTAGTGTGGCATTGTGGATGAGTGGTAGAGGGGGGTTGTAATGTTTGTATTGTGGAATGTGGTTAAGTGATATATTGTGGCAGTGTGGTGGTTAAGTGGTGGAGTTTTGGTCGTAATGCAGTGGAGATGGACAGAGAGATGGAGTGTGGTAGTGTATTGGAGTGAGGGGAGTTGGTGGAGTGTTTTAAAATATTAGAGTGGCACATTGGTGGAGTAAGGGATTGGTGGTGTGTGACAGAGTGGTGGAGTGAGGGAAAGAGGTGGAGTTTGGTAGTGTAGTAGAGTGTAGCTGAGTGTTGGAGTATGACATTGTGCTGGAGTGTAGCAGATTAGTGGGGTCTGTTAGTGTAGTGGGGTGTGATTTTGAATATTGAAGTGTGATTACGAAATAAAAATATATATAATACATAATTTGTGTCAGATGATACGAGCCCTCCAAAAGAAGCAAAGATTAATGGTTAATGGTTAGAATAAATAAATGTGCTAGACATCAAAGGTTATATAAAACTATGATAAAATACTGTGGTGGAAAGGGCAAAAATGAGTTACCAACTGGGATAAGTGGACAGAAGAAGGGGATTAACCTAATTCCGATGGGCATGGAAGGTACATACATGCTATGCCCACTGTAAGTTTGCTTTATTCATTTTTACAAATAGATAACTACACTTGTACTAAGTCACCAATGAACCAATTATGAGTACTACCGGTCTCACCTGTTTACCCAATTCCTTGATTTATGAAAATATTTTACGTTATCTTATTTTGCTGTTAGCAGTGTAACATTATAGTAATTATAATGTCTATAATAAAAATAACACCATCGATATTCATAGCATTAGCAAAAACTGTTTTTCTCGCAAAAAAAAGAAAAGAAAAAAGAGCACAGCATTATCCCCAGTGGCATGTGGTTAAGAAGAGAAGGAAAAGGAAAGGGGAACAAGAAAAGACCACACAAAATTTGTTGAGGCAAGGACTAAGGTCCAAGGCAGGGGTGATCCTTACATTGGGTCTCGGTCTCTGTCTCCTAAGGCCCCCCCCTTGACAACAATTAGCAAGGCATTGGGTGGGGGGGCAGCAGAAGCAAGAGACAACTGACATAAGTACCACACTGATACCACCATCAAACAATACACACAATGTGTGACTTTATGAAGTGCATGGGTTACCTTACACCTTATTTGAAAGTACTTTTTCAGTGCTGTGCACATCAAAGCATGTGTTACAGTCTGTAGTGTGGAAAAGCATTTCAGTCCCCTGCATACAAGCCAATTTTCAATGGCCTGTGGCTGCCATATTTTTGTGAAGAGAAATAGAAAACATGAAATCTGCACATGAGCCACTGGTGACCACCACACTACTGCAGCTTGCAACTAGTAATCATAATGGTATCATTCCCATTTAAACATTAGTTCCCCCCAATCCTTTGCTTGTTGTGCAGTAACTCCTTGAAAAAGTGGTAGCAACTGTTCACTGACAAGAGGTGCATGTGTGTGTGAGGGGGGGGGGGGGGGGCTTATTATGCTACTTTAATACAAAAATAACAGACATCAAATTAATTTGTCTTTAAAAAAAAAAAATTAACCTTTAAGCAGGGAAGGATAAAACTTGTATGAAAAAAAAATACATATATCTATGAAATTTATTTACATTAACGTCTAACTTTTTCTTGCAAACATTAAAATATTCTTCCATCAACACCGTCCACTTCCGGTACCTCATCAATCTTCTGCATGATTTCAACGCGGTTGATCCTCAAGAGGGTGTGTGTTTCCCTGTTGACTGAAATGGAGAGAAAAAATATTATATATGTGTACATTTTTCTCATTAACTAATAAACAGTGGAGGAGGAGGAGGAGGAGGAGGAGGAGGGAAGGAGGAGGAGGAGGAGGAGGAGGAGGAGGAGGAGGAGGAGGAGGAGGAGGAGGAGGGGGAGGAGGAGGAGGAGGAGGAGGAGGGGGAGGGGAGGGGGAGAGGAGGAGGAGGAGGAGGAGGAGGAGGAGGAGGAGGAGGAGGAGGAGGAGGAGGAGGAGGAGGGGGAGGAGGAGGAGGAGGAGGAGGGGGAAGAGGAGGAGGAGGAGGAGGAGGGGGAAGAGCAGGAGGAGAGGAGGAGGAGGAAGAGAAGCAGGAGGAGGAGAAGGAAGAAAAGCATGAGAAAGAAGAGGGGGAAGAAGAAGAAAGACAAGAGGAGGAGGAGATGGAAAAGGAGATGGAGGAGGAATAGCAGCATGATGATGATGATGATGATAAGGAGGAAGATAACTAAAGAAAAGAATAGAAAAGAAAAAAAAGAGAAAAAGGAAAAGAGAAGGAGTAGGACAAGACAGAAGAAGAAGAATAATAAGACAAAACAGGAAGATGAGAAAGAAGAAAAAGAAGGAGAGAAAAAGAGTTAACCCATTCCCGCTGGGCATGCCATGCCATGCCCATTGTGAGATTACTTGTTAGATTCATTTTACACATAGATGGCTACACTTGTACTAAATCACCAATAAGCCAGTAACGAGTACCGCCTGTCTTGCCTGTTCACCCTTTTCTTTGATTTACGAAATATTTTATGTTATCTTATTTTGCTGTTACTAATGTTAAAAAAAAACATTATGAAAATTATTATGTTTATGATAAAAATAACACCATCGATATTCATGGCACTAGTTAAAAATACATTTTTCCCGCCATTTCAAATCAGGCGCTAACAAAGCCATCTATAGGCAGACATTTAACAAAAAAGTATAGAAAATAGGCACAGCATTTTCCCCATTTTTTGTTCATTTTCCCCGGCGGCAATGGGTTAATATATGCTTGAAGTAACGTCCATATCTTGTCTCACAAGTTAAATTATGCCAAATTTTTATACAGCATAAAGGACCCATAAACTGACATTTGGTATCATCTTATAGTTTTCATATAGATTAACCCAATGGCGCCGGGTGTACAAAAGAAAAAAAAAAAAAAAACTACGCTTAAACAAACAAAGGCGGCGCGCCGACTTTGAGCGCGTGAGTAGGGGACATCAGCCTGAATCACTGGCTCGCCGCGCTTTGGCGCGCCGCCAGCTCGTTTGGCTGCACGCCAGCTTTCGAGCTCTTTGTTTACACGCCGATCGGCGTCACCCGGCACCAAGGGGTTAAAAGATGTGTTGCCTACAACTTTCTTTTTAATGATAAAAACTAAAGTAAATAAATTCTAAAAAAAATATTGGAAGATAAAAGCATCACTTAGAACTGTACTGCATGCAACAGAAGCAGTGTTATAGTTGCCAGGTAAATGCAGTCTCTAGATGTGTTGTCATGAATCACAGTAATATTTAGTCTTAAAGGAATCTTTCATTCACAGTCACTAAGCATGTACCCGGCATATATCTGGCCACTGCTTTTGTCAGGCGCTGTAAATGATGAATTACTTACACTTTGTCTTCCTTGAATTCTTGCGCCTCCTATTATAGAAATAAACTCGGCAGTGAGACAAGGTCTTTTCTACAACAGTTGCCTCCACGTTTATCAGGTCCTTCCTAAGCAATGGCCGTCCAAATAAGGTGAAGTCTTGTCCACCCACACACAACACCTGCGAAGATCACTGGTTAAACCTATGTTGCTTGTAAAATTCACTCAAGAAATCTTCACCCACATGAAAAGTGACAGGATGTGATATCTAACTTAGTTTTTAGTTTCCTATCCTTTTACAGCTTAGGCTAAGTAGTCTAAGGAAAGCAAACAGATATACTGATAACAGCTAATCCTAAATGCACAGATGATTCCTCGACACTACATAGTCTTCAAAATCACTCACCACAAATACATTCAAAACTCCCTTTAGTAAAGGCCAACCTCATACTATTCAAATTTAAAAAACTACTTGTAAGTATCATAAAACACCTTACTCTAGTGCAAGACTAATGAAAACCCATTTTACTTCTGTGATTTGGAAAATACTGTCAACAGGACTCGAATCAGAACCATACCTTCTCTAATCTGATGACGTCTCCAATAGAAGGTGGGAAAACACCCTGCACGACAACTAAATCCTCTGGCGTTACAAGATGCTGATGGCCGTGGATATATACTACAGCAAATAATCTCCCATGGCTTCCTTTGATGATCTGGTTGTTCACCTTGCTTATTACATCTGTGGGGAGAGAGTTTGAAGTAATTAAAGACAAGTGCATTAAATGTATGTACAGTAACCCAACATTGCCAGGAAAATGCTGTGGTCATTTTATTTATTTATTTATTTATTATTATTATTTTTTTGTGAAATGTCTCTGCACATAGATGGCTCTGCTAGTGCTTAGCCACAAAGGAGTAAATTAGTAGACCTTGTGACCTTACTTGATTTCACCTTTCCTTGTTTTTTTTTTTGTTTTTTTACTAGTGCTATCAATATTGATGGTGTTCTTTACACTATACTTAATATAATGTAAATGACATTAGTGGCAATATAAGAAAAGATAAAATATTTTTGTAAATCAAGGAAAAGGGTAAATAGGTGAGAGAAATAGTCCTCATAATAGGCTCATTGGTGACTTTGTACAAGTGGAGCCATCTATCTGTAAAAACAATTAATAAAGTAAACTCAAAGTGGGCATGGCATGTTTTGGGGTTAAGCTATTCTTTACTGGTACATCTTTCTAATATTAAAGATAATAGCTGTCAAAAAACTATTATCCCTTTGCCATACTTTATTGTGACAAGGCCTTGCAAAGGGAACTTTATAACCATATTGTGAACTACAAATTATTTTTTAAAATTTGCATCATCAGAATGACTAAAGTGGTCATGTTTATTAAAATAGTTACCTTAAAATCCAAATGTGGATTCATAGTTCCCCCATCAGGGCCAGATAAAGCCCTTTAGAGGCTCTAAGCTCTTAAGACTTGGGTGCTCCATATATGTGTAATTCAAAATATAAACATAATATTGAGTACTTACATATTGAAATATTTACACATATGGCTGTTAAATTAACTAAGCTTTAACATAATAACTTGTTTTTAATCAGATATTAGCAAAATTCTGATTTTTCTAATGGTGGTTTTCCAGTCTTGCGAAGAGTAAACTTTTCCACTAATGACCGATTCGGCTTCCCCCGAAATTAACTTGTTTTTAATGAAATAACGGTGAAAATTGCTCAATGAATTACTTGACCTAGCTGGAAGAGTCAATTTTTCCAGTGTAGATTCTAATTCAGCTTCCCCATAGTTACGTAGGTACATGCAGCATAGAATACGATATGTTGTGTTACCTTGATGGAATCTAAATATTTTAATTTAGGTACTTTTCATATTAATGATATCTAATTAGTAGAAGTTATTAACTTTACAGGGTAGGTAGGGCAACTATTCAGAAGAACAATACAGAACATTTATTTAACCTATTCCTGCCGGGAAAAAATGAACAAAAAATGGGGAAAATGCTGTGCTAATTTTTTATATTTTTTAATGAAATTTCACTACACTAGATGGCTCTGCCTTACCTGATTTTACCTTTACTTGAATTGGCGGGAAAATGTATTTTTACTAGTGTTACGTATATCGATGGTTATTTTTATTATAAACATTATAATTACTATAATGTTATAAACATTAGTAACAACAAAATAAGATAACGCAAAATAATTTCGTAAATTAAAGAAAAGGATAAACAGGCGAGGCAGGCAGTACAAGTACAAGTGTAGCCATCTATGAGTGAAAACAATTAAACAAGTAAACTCACAGTGAGCCTGTCACGTATACGTGACACCCGGCGCGAGTGGGATAAGATATGCAACATATCTTTCAATCATTTTGCATTTGTAACACAAATTGGTAGCTCCTACAGTGGAGTCCAGTAAAAGTGAAATTTAGGCCAGCAACTCCCCTTCCTACAAGGCAGGCAGAGGTGTAGCGGAAATCCACAATGACATGAACAAACCTTTGAAGGCTGACTGCCTCTCATATTTCACAATGAAAGCCTGAGTGTCTCAATTCTGACTGGTTACTTGGATAAACCCTTGTCTAGAAAGCTAATTTCCATGACGATGGAGGACAGAGTTAATGTTGTTCACATCATGATCCTCTAGGACTGCCAGATTTCAGCTAAAGCTGAGACTCTGGGGATTACTCTTGAAAGAGTTGGCCAAATTATCCAAAAAGTTTCTGGACATGCGGAAGCTGTCAGTGAAGTTGGAGTCAAAATGTCTGATTGCAGATTAGCAGTACATCTGAAAGATGCAATCAAATGCATCTTTGGACATGTATACAGCAGAAGAGGAGGATTTTATGGCTTGTCTTCACTATAGGTAATATCCCCATACCTAGAAGTTGAGCCTTGGTTTCTTGTTTTTGATGAACAGTGCATTAATAAACAAACTGCATGAAAGATTTTAACTGCAATTTGGTAGACCATCCTGTCTTAATGTCCTGATTGCTTCCTATTCCAACAACTGAGAAGTGCATAGAAGAAATGGAATTTGACTTTGACCTTGAAATGATAGTAGCCTCTGGGGTATGGTATGGTATTTTTGGTTTAAATAAATTGAATATTACTGCAATAAGTGTATGAATCTGATTAAAATCATAAGCCACTGGTCCTCCTAACTTTTCTATTACTAAAGCCAGGAACTTTTCCGCACCCCCTCATAAAGGTCCAGTCAAATGGTAGCTATTTGTTTCAAGCTGCTTGTTTGTGTTTATATGTATGCTATTGTGTGTAAGTATATGTGTATACAAGATAATCTTACATGACATTTACATGACTGTAAGTGTCAAACAGAAAGTTCCATTTCTACTCATAAGAAGCACAGATCAAAATTGATAAAATATTGTAAATCAGCTTTTGAGGAGGAAGGAATAAAACCTAAAAGAATTGTGGGCCATAATAATGTGCATAATTCTTCAGATGGATAGGTAACTAGAACTAGCCATATCTCAATTTTCATACCAAAATTCAGATTAGTTGAAAAACCAATAAGCATTTAGAATAATATAAACTCAATCAGTATATATATATTTTTTATGATATAGTCTAAACTAATATCCGTAGTAGTATAAAATGTCGCGAGGCAAATGAACTCAATGCCAATACTAGTGCTATGAATATTGATGGTGTTATTTTTATTATGAACACTATAGTTACCATGTTATAAACATAAGTAACAGCAAAATAAGATAACATAAAATATTATTGTAAATCAAAGAAAAGGGTAGATGGGTGAGACAGGTAGTATTCGTAACTGGCTAATTGGTGACTTAGTACAAGTGTAGCCATCTATGCGTAAAAACAATAATACAAGTACTCACAGTTATGCCCGTCGGCATTCATATCTCTTTAAAATTAAAGAGTTATGAATGGTAATACTACATGACAATATTATCAATAATAATATAAATATCATGAAAAAGTTACTCACTTTCAGTAAAAAGATCTTGTTCTTGGTTGCAGTCTTTAACAAGTTCTTGCTTAACACTCTGTTGCACAACTGGAGGAGTGAAAGCTGGTGTTCTGAGTCCACTGACAGCTGACAGCAGTGGTGCTCTTCCTACAGCATGGCCAATGATTTTTCCTGAAATAAATAATAATTCAAATATAATATGAAACACCTTTAAATCCATTAAAAAATCTGCATTACCTGATTTATTATTTAAGAGCACCTGCATGAACAATCTAAATAATCAACAGTTTCTTTGGATGATTTACAATCCTGTATGTTATCAAATTCTTGGTAATTACCCAGAACTGGACTGTTCAGAGATATAAATTTATAAACAAAATTTTGGTTTATCTTGATGTTATGGATGTACTAAGCTATGGCAAACTGAATATGATATCCTTGCAGTTGTCAGTATAAGAAATAACATGCAGACAAAAACGTTAATGCCACATATGACGGAAAAAGTCCACTTAGTGCACCCAAGTTTCAGAGCTATCTTGCCAGACATACAAAGGTGAGGACAGTGTTTGTTAGGGGGTGTACGGGGGTGGTGGGGGGCAGAGCCCACAATCAACTCTCCCTTCAGGCAGTGCCAAAAAGAAAAAAACACCCAGTCAAGGCAATTTAGACTGTGGATTAAGTTTGGCAATTAGCCTCTGATGAATGCATAAATATTGTAAAGAATTACCAAAATTTCCTTATGAAGAATCATTACCACAAACTTTTCTGTGCAAGCAAATAATAAAGGCATAATCAGATATCAATAGGATTACCCTGGAAAGTAGAGGAGGTGTTAAAATTAGTAATATTGCTTAACCCAATGGCGCCAGGTGTACAAAAGAAAAAAAAAACTCTACGCTTAAACAAACAAAGGCGGCATGCCGACTTTGAGCACGTGAGTAGGGGATATCAGCCCGAATCACTGGCTCGCCGCGCTTTGGCGTGCCGCTGGCTCGTTCGGCTGCACGCCAGCTTTCGAGCTCTTTGTTTACACGCCAATCGGCGTCACCCGGCACCAAGGGGTTAAACACAATGTCTTGAAGATTTACTTATTCTAAATTATGTACATGAACGTTGTCCACAACTGCAGGATGGCCCCCTAATATCTAAATGTATCCTCTTTCACCTGCACAGAAAAAATTATGATCATTTACTAATCCTTTATAAGGAAGTATTGTTTATTGGTGCCTTCCAACTGTCAATAGTTCTACCTTTTGATCCTTCATGGATACTCTACATATATCTATACCATTTATCTGCTTCCTCTTCTATAAAGATGACAGTGAGAGTGAGTGTGAGGGTGTGTATATGTGTGTAAGGTAACCCTTCCATACATTTTTAAAATATTTTACTGATATACTGATTGTTATCCAGTAAACATTTCCTTCCTTACTTAAATAAACTGAATTCAAGAGGTCTTAAGCGTTATGAAATATGAAAATGAAACGTTAGAACATAGCTGAAATAAAACAGTGACGCTTCCAACCCGACAAATGTTCCTCATCTGATGCCATAAATACCGAAACGATGAACCCATTTGACACACTTAATTTACTAAGCCCTGTTAAGGAATTTGAAACGTCACTCCTAAACTTCATATTCATTTGCCATACTAACAATAACGCTCATGTATATAAAGTCCCTGTATTCATTACGTGATCCGACTAACAACATCCAAAACTCTTATTCACACTTTCTTAATTTCTTTATTTTTCTTTCTTTATTCACACTTTTGACACCAACACACTACACTTCCCTGAGGTATAAATGTATCAAAAGCTACATTAAACTCCACTCACTGTTCCCAAGTAAGGCGCTGGACGCTATTTGAGTCGGCCTCAGAGCCCTCAAGAACACGGCAGCCGACATGTTTGTTGATCTCCGACT